CACTCCCTGGGATTAAAGGCTGGCTTTCTAGGATTAAAGGAGTGTGTCACCATGCTTGGCTTTTTCCAATGTGGCCTTGAACTCACAGAGATCCAGAGGGATTTCTACCTCTGGAATGCTAGGATTAAAGGTGTGAGTGCCACCATTTTCTAGCCTTTGTATCTAGTGGCTGTCTGTTCTCTGACCCCAGATAAGTTTATTAGAGTACACAATATTTTGGGGAACACAATACCACCACAGAACCTAGCAGAAGAAACTGTTTCTCATAGACAGAAAATGGGTTTGATTGCTCTTGGAAACCTTTTCCTCCAGCTGGGTTGCCTCGTCCAGCCTTGATGTGAGGGTCTGTGCCTGGTCTTATTGTAACTTGTTATGCCATATTTGGTTGATATCCCTGGGGAGGCCTGCTCTTTTCTGATGGGAAATGGAGGCTCAGTGGATCTCGGGGAGAGGGGAGGTGTAGGGAGAGTGGGAGGAAAGAAGGGAGGGTGGGAGGAAAGAAGGGAGGGGAAACTGCAGTCGGGATGTATTGTATGAAAGAAGAATAAATAAAAAGAAAAGAAAAAAGTGGGCTTGAGTGGATGGGTTCAAAGTGACTTTGTAAGGCAGGACCTAGGACATGGAAGAACATATAAGGGATTAGTTAATATTGGGACTTCTCAGGCTAGTTTGTGTAAGGATGGGGGGGTCTTTATTATCTTGCCAGTGATGTTGGTCTGCCTAAAAAACTTGGCTGTTCTCTCGAACCCTGATTTCTCAGAAAGTCAGATTAACCATATTGCATGATAAAAGGGAGCGTGAGCAGGATTGGCTCCATTTTGATTTTGAGTCTTGTCTTTTGGGGGACGTTATAGAGCAGTTACAATAAGACCAGGCACAGACGCTCACATCAAGGCTGGACGAGCGACTCAGCTGGAGGAAAAGGTTCCCAAGAGCAGTCAAGCCCATTTTCTGTCTATGAGAATCTATTTTTTCGGCTAGGTTCATTACAACCATCCATTTTTATATGGCCTGGGTTTGTGCGTGGTGGCAAATGCCTGCAGTCTCAGCCCTTGGGAGACAAGGGCAAAAGGACTCCAAGTTCAAGACTGTGTCAAACAAATAAAGGTCTCCTTAATGACTTGACAATTCTTGTGAAATTACTATGATCAAGTTTCACCAGCTGCTGTTAATTACCTTGAAATCCTTTTCTTTCTCTTCCTTCCTTCCTTCCTTCCTTTCTTTCTTTCATGTTTTTTGAGACTAGGTTTCTCTGTGTAGCCTTGACTGTCCTGGAACTCACTCTGTAGACCAGGCTGGCATCGAAGTCACAGAGATCCACCTGCCTCTGCCTCCCCAGTACTGGGATTAAAGACATGCGTCACCACTGCCCGGTTTGAAATCCTTTTCTAAGGCCAGGCCTCCAGACAGATACACACACACACACACACACACACACACACACACACACACACGGCTCTTCCTACCTCCAACCATTCCATGGGGGTTGCAAGTTGTGGTTTACGCTAATGGGCCCTGCTAAAGGGTTAAGAGACCTAACGTACTGTGCGCCTACGTTTTCACAAGCAGCAAGGTTCAGCTGTTTCGAATCCACAAACCAGGCACAGTGTTGCAGGTCTAGAATCACAGCCCTTGGGAAGCTGAAGTCAGGGAAGAGTTACAAGATGAGACTGTCTCAAAAATAAATAAATTTTAAAAAATAAGTAAATATAGCTTCAAGTAATTCCATTACTACTGCTTGCTTCCAGAGTTTCTAGCAACCACCACTTGGACTTTAATCAAAATGTTTCACTTTCTAACTGATTGTCCCTCGGAGAAAATTTACCGATTGGGCAGTTTGTCAGAGAATGAAGGGAAATAAGACAGCCCCTGACCCTATCACAGTATCGCTCCAGGAAACATTGGCAGCCTGAAGACATAGCTAATCCCCTTATAAATAGTTGTTCTTCTAAATTGCCAGAAAATTGAGAGGATTAAAACACAATAGAGCTATAAAAGTTAGTGCCTCCACAATAAATGTCAGCTACAGTTCGCTCATGATTAACTTCTTCTCAGTCACGTACATTACATTATGTCATCGGATCTAAGCCACAGAAGACATGAGAGAGAAGGGGACAGAAGAGTCGCCACAGATCAAAAACTGAACTTCACGTACAGAAACACGGATATTTAAGGGACTTCAAAATCATTTGGTCATTTCTCAGCCTAGACAACATCTTAGAAAGCTCTGGGCTGGGACAGGAAGAAGTAACTGCAGCCTGAAAATCGAAAGGAGACAGACAGGTGAAACGCAAGTCAGCTGGTTGTGACAAGGAGACCAAAGAGCAGAACTAAGCAGACACAGTCAGGGGCTCAGGAACAGGATGCTGCTGACGAGAATCTGACTTCTGATGGAGTTGAAAGTCTCATCATCCCTGGATCACCAAGCCCACCCATCATCCCTGGACCACCAAGCCCATTCATCATCACTGGATTACCAAGCCCACCCATCATCACTGGATCACCAAGCCCACCCATCATCACTGGATCACCAAGCCCACCCATCATCCCTGGATTGCCAAGCCCACACCCATCATCACTGGACCACCAAGTCCACCCACCATCACTGGACCACCAAGCCCACCTCTGAAGGACCCACTTTACCTGGACCCGCACTGCTCTCTGTTGTGGTTGACTGTGACTTGTGTGCAATAAATAAATCGCTGGGTCACATCTCACGTTGCAGTTTTCCAGGCCGCTTGGTGGATCCGCAGCATCATCAGAGGAAGCAGCTACCGAGAACATGTGAACCCTGAAGTGGAACTTGGAGTTTGAGGTGCAATCTCTAACTTACTTGCTGGCTGATAAAAGGTTGTTTAATCTCCTGAACCTTCATTTCCCTACCTGTGAAATATGGGTGGTGACAGCTCCTTCCATTAGCAGGGAGATTAATGAGAGCCAACATGGAGTGCGTCTGTCGCACAACAGTTCCGATTCTAGATTCCTCCTCACATCCACCCTTTTTCAATGTGAAAGAGCTCCATGAGGCGTAGGGGTGTTCCTGGCTCCTCTCACCCGGTTTCTGTAAACATTTTTGTCTGTGAGATGTTAGAGAAGCTCATTACAAAGTGCTTGCCTGAGTGTTCCTTCTCTTGTTCTCTGCGAACCACAGTAGCTGCAGCCTGGACTAGCCCACTGTAAGATAAAAGGAGCCAGGCAGGGAGGGGTACTCCCATGGGGGTGGGGCCTGGGGCATGGGAGTGGGGTGGGGGGTGGCAGATGGTTCCTCAGATAAAGTCACTCTCTGATTAGACTGATGCCCTGAGTTCCAGCCCCAGAACAATGGATTCCTGCAAGTTGTCCTCTGACCTGCACACACACACAAACACACACACACACACACACACACACACACACACACAAACCAAATATGTGGAATTTTTTTAAATTAAAATGAGTAGAATTATTAAAGTTGTGGTGCATTAGGGCACGCTTACATTTCTAACAGGTAGAGAGTATCCAGTCTCATCTCACCACGCGCCAGTGAGCATGCGGTAGAGAGAGATGGTAAAAGTAAGGTACGCAGCTTGTGGCTATTAAACCTCTTCTGAGAAATGGGGTGAGCTTGCCAAGTGTGTTGAGTGGACAACTAAATCTGCAGGCTGGTGGAGTGAGGGTAAGCACTGGCCATACGGCTGTGGTGATGGAGAGAGATAATGGGCGCTTTCTCTAGCCTTCAACTTTACTGGGACGCCAGGATGACATAAAGCGGCGTTCATCCTCTCAGAGCCGGTCAGCAAAATCCAAAGACAGAATCACTGTCCCATAACACCCACAGCCCGGATGGACCAAGGCATTCCCAATACAGAGGAACTCACAAACTCCACATTTCTTTATCTAGTGACGATTGTCAGGACCATTTCGGGAGATGGAAGTCCATCAAAGAGCCTTAGTTACCCAGATTTCCTGAATGTCCTGGTCACATCGAGGTCTACTCAAATTTCCTGCCGGATAAGGACCGAAAAGGAAAGTGCTCACCAGTACAGTACCTGACAGAGCATCAAGAAGACGGGCGTGTTTGTCCTCTGGGTCAAGGAAAAGGACGGAGCAGTGCAATGTAGAGACACCAAGTGCTGTGGAAAAAAGATCAGCCAACCTGAGCTACAACTTTGGGAGGTCAGGCCAGCCAGCCCGAGGCCACCCAACGTGGGGATCAACTCTCTCTTTCCTCCATTCTCCAGCAGGTGCCGCCCCCTGACCAAACCCAGCCATGAACCAGGTGGCAGAGAGTGCCTGGAAACAACATCCTGGGCCCTGGAGTGGGGTGGATGAGTAGCAGGATGAAGGGTGAATCTGCGGGGCAAATGGAAAGAATCCAAGAGTAGTGGAAGTCGGAACCCGGCTCACCTCTCAGCATTTCACCAATGATCCCCTAGATAAAGCCACACGCTTCAGTTCCCCATCCAGCGGTTCTGATGTAAAAATGGGGAAGTATGTTAATGCCAGCAGGAAGCATAAGCTCTTTGTTCCCCCAACACACAAGCACCCCAAATTGTTAATTGCACTTAAATGCCCCTGAGCTATTTATTTTCATCCTATAGAGAATGCTGCGGTTGAGTGGTGACATTTTTTTTTTTTAAAGAGGATAATTAAAGGGCTCAGTTTTTCCCCTTTTAAAAACCAGGTGAGCAATGTACTTACTCTGAGCAATGACAGGGTTTGGGCTGCTTTTGAGCCCTGGCAATATTGATCAGTTAGAAATATTCGGACACTTGCATCTCCTGAATGAGCTTACTGTAGCCATTCTCCCGTGGCAGCCGGGAGAGCGTCGGCATTTTTTGTTATCGTGATAAATTACCCTCCCTGGTAGGTCACTCTTTTTTACCCAAAGTCACAATTTGCTCCTTCTTTAGGTCACAACCTGATTTTTCAGGGTGACAGATTTATTGCTTGCTTTGTACTCTCAAAACACAAATCGCCAACACTGCTCAAAATACAGTCCTGCCACGCGATAGCCCGGGATCGTCGTCACAGTGTGGACGAAACACGGGCTTCGTGGGTTCTTTCCACGCTGCCCTGGTTCCAAGAGGGAAGGATGGAGCTGGTGTGAGCCACATTGCCAGTTCAAGCAACTGATGAGCAACTGCTTGTTGGCAGCATCTCAGAGGAGCCTTTCTTCTTTGGAGGATGCTCCAAACAGCAGCGCAAAGAGCTCCTCTGACTTCCCAGCAAGACAGATGCACGTGGACTCACGTGATGAGCAATCTGCTCCAGATAAGAAGACGTGCATTTAACTTCGAACGATGTCCCACTTGCCTGCACAGTCTGCCAGGTGGCCTCATCTTCTGCCCTGCCTCTCGGCCAGCCAACACCGTTCCCTTCAGAGTGGAGTTCCCACCTAGACAGGCTCCTCTCCCATCACTGGCCTCATGCCACAAATGGAAACAGGAAAGTCGAGATAGCATTCTACACTGTTGTAAATGGCATTCCACAGCAAGTTCTACCGCATCATACGGGCAGACAGGCCAGAAGTCGGGGGGCTCAGATGCTAGAACCAGTCTGCCTGCAAATTCCTACCTCTGCAGCTTCTCTGCTTTGCTATCCCACTCTGTGCCTGGTAGCAGGTAGGAGGCAGGATAGCTGTGAGCTCAAAGCAAGCTTTGTGTGCATTGCAAGGTTCCCACCCATCAAGGCTACAGAGTGAGACCCTGTCTCAAAACATAAAAAAGTAAAAATAAAAATAAATTAATAGAAGGGCACAAGATGGCTCAGAGAGTAAAGGTACTGGACACCAGGGAGTTAAAGAAGAGACCTGACCACATAACAGATTTTCTTCTGACCTCCGCATGTGCCAGCCATGGCACACACATGTGCACGCACACACGTACTAAATACATAAAGAAATGAAACATGTTCAAACAAAATATAAATAAATGAAACAAAATTAGGTAAGTAGAAATAATTATGGACAGGGGCTGGAGAGATGGTTCGGTGGTTAAGAACACTGACTGTTCTTCCAGAGGACCTGGGTTCTATTCCCAGCACCCACATGGTAGTTCATAACTGTGGTGATATATTTGTAATCTAAGAAATAAAGCTTGCCTGAAGATCAGAGGACCGAGTCAGCCACAGAGTTAGCCAGGGAGGTCAGGCACACACCTTTAATCCTAACACTTTCGAGGCAGAGGCAGAGATCTGTCTAGATTTCTGTGAGTTCAAGGCCACACTGGGCTACACGAGATTAATTCAATCTAAAAGAGGAACAGCCAGGCAGTGGTGGCACACACCTTTAATCCCAGCACTAGGAAGGTTGAGACAGGAAGTGATATGGCTGGGCAGAGAAAGGAATATAAGGCAGGAGGAGACAGGAACTCCCTCTCTGGCAGACGCTCTTACAGGCTGAGGAGTGGGTGAGGTAAGAGGTGGTGGCTGTGGCTTGCTCTGCTCCTCTGATCTTTCAGCTTTCACCCTGATATCTGGCTCTGGGTTTTTATTAAAACCGATTAGGGCACTGGAGGGATGGCTCAGAGGTTAAGATCACTGACTGCTCTTCCAGAGGACCCGGTTTCAATTCCCAACATCCTCATGGCAGCTCACAACTGTCTGTAACTCTAAGATCTGACACCCTCACACAGACATACATGCAGGGAAAACACCAGTGCACATACAATAAAGATAAATAAATCATATAAAAGAAAAAAAAAGACTGATTAGGATTCATGCAACACAGAACTGTCTATAACTCCAGTTCTAGGGCTTCTGACATCCTCACACAGACATACAGCAGGTAAAACACCAAGGAACACAAAATAAGAATAAATAGATTAAAAAATAAAAAATTAAACAATTTTTTTAATTATGGACTATACTTTTTGAGGTTATAGGCTTTATGTTAGGTTATTTTAAATGTTTTAATCTGATGTTGGTAATGAGTGTTCTCTTATAATTTTTAATTTGCATTTCCTAACATTATGACAGTTGCTGTTAGTCTCTCTGTCTCTCTCTCTCTCTGATTTTAGTTGTGTTTTGGTTGTTTGATTTGGGAAGGATCTCACTATTTAGCCCAGGCTGGCCTCAAACTTAGAATCTTCCAGTCTCCTCTCCCTAAGAGCTGGGATTGCAGGAATATGCCAGTACATTATGAGTCTTTTTGCTATTCATTTGTTAATATTACCTATATACATGGACTAGTCATGAGTTATTTATGTGTTACAAATGTATTTTCCCAGTTTATTCCTTCTTGTTCACTCACTTTATGATATAAACCTATAGTATAAGTTTTCAAAAGTAAATCTGGTCAGTCGTGCACGCCTTTAATCCCAGCACTTGGGAGGCAGAACCAGGCGGATCTCTGTGAGTTCGAGGCCAGCCTGGTCTATAGAGTGAGTTACAAAAACAACAACAAAAAAAAAACCATAGTAAATAAATAAATCCCTATATATTTAAAAGCTGACACACAAATAATTGAAGTAATCTCTCTCTCTCTCTCTCTCTCTCTCTCTCTCTCTCTCTCTCTCTCTCTCTCCCACACACACACACACACACACACACACACACACACACACACAAACTGGTGGCTAATCTTCATAAAATGATTGCCTAATATTTCCCTGGGCTTTGTATTGTTATTGAATCAAACTAGACTGAATATCTTGAACAACCTGGCCTTGTAACTGGTAATCATCGATAATATACTCAGAGATGCAGAGAAAGGTAAGCATAGCGCTTGCCGTTATCAGGCTTAACCCAGCTGTGGTGGAGGAGAGCACATTAACAGAGATCTAAGGCTCTAAGGGAGCACTGAGGTAGTCAGTGGAACTAATCATATAGGCCACATTAACCATGACAGCAAGTTGTTACAAAGTTCATCTCCTGCTGTATTCATGGGGATTCTTGAAAAATTGGGAGGGAGCAGGATTCAGCAGAGGCAAAGCCCTTGCCCAGTCTATATATAAGGCCCTAAGTTAGACCCATCCACCCCCTGAATTCACCCTCTCCCCACTCAGCATGAGGGGTGGGGGTAAGGCATTGAAAAGTCACTGGACAGGTGTGTGCTGCTGGAACTGAGTCCGAGAAGGGGAGAGGGAGGGTGATGGGGCTCCAGGAACCCCCCCCCTCTCACCCTCCCCACACCGTCAGTGAAGGCTTCACAGGAGCAGATTGGGCAACTGGATCCTGTAAAAACCTCATTACCTCATTTCTACAGAAAAATACGGTTTCTTTGAAAGAGCCTCTTCAGGTTCTCAAGGCTCTTTCTGTAAAAATTCTTAATGATAAACGCAAGTTGGCTGTGTTTATTTTCATTCTTCATTGTTTCATGAACCAAATATGGCCTCTGTGGATTCTAAATATTTAACCTTAAGGTTTCATTTCAAATCAAATCATCTTCGGTCATTAGTTCAATATCAACCATCAGAGAACAATGAATTTCATGAAACACAACTCAATCTGGACATTAAAAAAAAAACATTTTATTGGCTGGGATTGGTGGCTCACACCTGTAATTCCCTGCATCCAAAAGACCGAGGCAGGAGGGTTGCTACAAATTGGGGGTTAGCCTAGGATACCTAGTGAGTTCCTGAGCTACACAGCAAAATCCTGTTGCAAACAAAAGCCAACAGCTGGTGGAGGAGCACCCACCTCTGATGGCAGCCATTGGAGAGTAAGGTGGAGGAGCGCCTACCTCTGATGCCAGCCGTCTGAGAAGCTAAGGTGGAGGATCATCTGAGGCTAGGATTTCGTGACCAGTCTGGGTGACAGAGCAAGACTGTACCTCACACAGAAGTAGGGAGAAGTAGAGGGGAAATAAGGAAGGAGAGAAGGAAGAAATATATTCCTCAGTCCCCTGTACAACACACACACACACACACACACACACACAGCCGACCAAAATTTATTCCAAAATTATTTTTTATTTTGTTTTGCTGTTTTTTTGTGTTTGTCTTATGTTTTTCGTTTCTGTTTTGATTCATTGTAAGACAGAGTCTTACTATGTAACCCAGGCAAGCCTGGAACTCGCCATCCTGCCCTACTTCAATTACAAGCAAGTGCTCCAGTTACAGGTCAGGGGCACTACGCCCAGCTCAGAGTAAGTTGGCTGCCCCGCCCTCCATGGCAGGAATGGAACCCAGAGCCTTAGACATTCTAAGCAAGTATGCTACCACTGAGCTACAAACCCAGCCACCAAAGTTCTTGTGAGAAACCACAATAACAATCATGGGGGGGGGGGGGGTACTTAAATTCGTCTTTAGAGGATGTGTCTGTACCTCAGTTGGCGGAGTGCTTGCCTACCATGCACATCAGTGGGGGTTTGATCACCTGCACCTCATAAAAGCAGCAGGACACACCTATAATCTCATCACTCGGGAGGTAGACACAGGAGGACAAGAACTCGAGGTGGCCAGGCGGTGGTGGCGCACGTCTTTAATCCCAGCACTCAGGAGGCAGAGGCAGGAGGATCTCTGTGAGTTCCAGGCCAGGCTGGTCTGCAGATTGAGTTCCAGGACGGCCAGGATTACAGAGGGACGCTGCCTTGAAAAACTAAAACAAACAAACAAAGAATTCAGTGTATATCCTCAGTTACACATCATGCTCTCTCTTAAAAACAAACAAACAAAAAATCCAGAGCAGACACTATGGCTCAGTGGGAAAAGACGCTTGCGGTCAAGCCTTATGAACTGAGTTGGAGCCCCAGGACCCATGTGGTGGAAGGAAAGCCACCCTCTAACCTCCACACCACGTACACACATGTGTGCTTGCAAGCACACACATGTAAATAAATGTAATTTTTAAACTTTCAAAAACAATAATTAAATAAATTCTCATTTATTGTTTCAATTCAACAAACATTTGACCGAATGTGCCAGGGCCTGAGCAGAGCCCTTCACATCAATTCTTACCTTGATGGTTCGCTGTGTGGCACCTTTCTACTCTGAGCATCCCCAGTCTTGAGGGTCCACCTGAATTAAGTCATCTACGAATAATCATTTCTCACGGAGCCGTAATGTTCAAGGCACTGTCCTGGGCATTTGGGAGGCTGTAAATATTTCAACACAAGTGGTTATTATGCAAGATAATACAGAGCTTGGAAGTCCCGGCAGCACAGCAGAGGTTTGACCTGCTCACCGGCGAGAGTGGGCACATTTCTCCAGGACTCCCAGAGACTTCATGAGTCACTGCAGGACTGTGGCTTAGAAAGCAACACAGAGCTTCTCCTTCCTTGCCACTCCACAGAAACCACAGAGGCTTTGCAGGGCACACACACACACACACACACACACACACACACACACACACACGCACACACATGCACACGCACACACACCTGGGTTTGAGGCAGGGGATTTCTACTCTCTGCTGCTTCACCTTCCTTTTGACAGTTTGTGTTTCGGTCCTGCTCCGTAATATCATCTACTCGGGGATCCATTCCTGTTCGTGTCCCGTTAGAACCTCAGCCATTCATTCCCACATCGGCTGCAGAGGTCTTTGAGGAACCAGCGTTAGGTTCTCCAGAGTCACCCCACATAAGGAAATGTGCAGCAATGTCTTATAAGTCTATCGTCAGCAAGGCCCGGCAGTGTGAGCTTTAGTCTCGGGTTCAGAGAAGCGGGGGAGGGTCTTTCTTGCCCAAGTATTGGAGATCAACATGAACGACCTAAGGCAGACTTGTGCTGAAGAATGAATAATCTACAAGCCTGCTGAGGTGACTCATACCTGGAATCCCAGCACTTGAGTGCCTGTGGCAAGAGATTAGACATGAGTCTGAGGCCAGCCTGGGCTACACAGTGAGTCCTAGGCCAGACTGGGCTAAAAAGTGAGAGACATTGTCGGGGGTGTGGAGGTGGGTGTGAGTGTGGGGGGACATTTTGGTGAATTAATCCAGTAAAAAATGAAGATGGTAAGAAGAAAATACTTAATTGTATTTAGCAGCGGTTGTATTTCCTCCTGGTATTTCCAGCATGTAATTGCACCCTTGACTTGAACCCACTCGTGGTTTTCCGATTAACATTTGGTCCATGGGCTGTAATAACATGTCATCTGAAAAGAAATGCTTCTACGGGGATCTGTAGAATTTTCCAAGGTCCTGTCCAAACCACTGTGCACATCCACAGTTGGGGAATGGAATCCCTCCTCCTCTGTCAATGGATGATGTTTTCTCCCTGTGGCCATCAGAAGTTAGCACTGAGATAACCTGAAAAGCCCTGAGCAGACTTCACCATGCTTTAGTTCACTTGGAGAATCCTACCTCAGGCCAGAAGCTTCAGAGGCTGGGGAGTGACTCACTCACACTTGTCAGAGTTTCAGTTACATGCACTTGTCAGAGTTTCAGTTAGCTCTCCCTCTGAGGGCGTAATCGCCTCCCCAGGATAATAACACCAAAGCGGATCCCACAGTGTGGGCTCTAGAGCTGGAATGGGAAGAGCCTCTCCCCAGGATCACTCGATCCAGTGGTTCCCAAGCCTCCTTTAATACAGTTCCTCAGGTGGTTGATCTCCAACCACAAAATTATCTCATTGCTGCTCAGTGACTGCCGTTCTGCTACTGTTATGAATCATAATATAAATATCAGTGTTTTCCCATGGTCTTAGGTGGCCCCTGTGAAAGGGCCATTCAACCCCCAAAGGGATGGAGACCCACAGGTTGAGAACTAATAACTTATACAAATTGGCCTCATGGACCAGAAGGCCCAAACCAGGCAGATGCACAACCTAGTCAGCCATGAAATCATCATGAGATTCCATTGGTGACAGCCTTTGGGTGCCCCACCCCCAACACCTATTGTGAAGCAGGTGCCTGGGGCCTTTACACTGAATGACTCCGCACTCAGCCCATGCCCTGCGGCCGGCCGACAGGCTTCCCTCTGTGGTAGGGCACACCTCCACACTCTACAAGAAAAAGACATTTCCTGAAGAGAAGCCTCCCTGTGGGAACTGAGACCGGGAAAGCAGGGCCCCTCAGTTTGACTGGCTCAAACTGACTTTTTCAGTGATGAACTCAAACTCATTTTTTTTAAGATGTATTTTTTTAAGTTACATTAAGTGTTTTGGCCAATCCTGTTACTGTACCGTAGACTCACACAGACGGTTAAGAGTTGGCTACTCATGCCTCATAAAGACACCTACTGGTAGACTGCCTGCCTCATTCCTTCCTGTTTCCTCACAGCTTCCTGTCCTAGACACTGCCTTCTCTCGGCTGAACTAACGAACAACCTGTCTAGGCCATATTATTTCACTGCTCCTCCCCTCCTCTCTCTCCAAATCTGTTTAATTTTATCTTCATAGCATCTACCCAATCTTTTTACTTAGCCTCATCGCAATCGTCTCAATTCTTTGTTTGTTTGTTTGTTTGTTTAAGAAAGGGTTTTTCTGTGTAGTTTTTGGTGCCTGTCTTGGATCTCACTCTGTAGACCAGGCTGGCCTCGAACTCACAGAGATCCCACCTGCCTCTACCTCCTGAGGGCTGGGATTAAAGGCGTGTGCCACCACCGCCTGGCCCTCATCCCAATTCTTAATATTATGATAAACAAATCCCATTTGGTGTAAGGAGAACAAAATAGCTCAGTGCCGGGGATGTACTTCAGGGATACATTACTTGCCTAGAGTGCTCGGCGCCCTGAGTTCTTTGCACTACCACCCCAACACTGTGTGTGTAGAAGGGGGTGCTATGGGGTGTGTGCTCCAGGGTGGGTGGGTACGGGGCCCAAATCCTGCTTCCCAGCTTTTCGTCTATATATTTGACTTGCTAACTTTAAAAGGAAAAACAAATTGAAAAGAATCTAAAAATAAGTTTGACTAAATTTTAAAGTACTGTTGGTAGCAGAAATAACCACAGAGGTGACTTTTCAATATTTAATTGACTCATAGAATATATTTATCACTTCATGAGGCTTAACTAGAAAATCCCTTTTTAAAAGCTCCGTGTGGAAACAGTGTATCCATATTCCAGAAGAAGGTTCCCTAAATTGTGTGAGTTCTCAGTCCTAGATATTTTGTACCCTTCCTAAACCCTCTTCAAAATTAGTTCAGTCACTTTTTTAGCTTAAAATACATGGCTTCTTTATGTGCTATATGTAAAAGGATATGTCTCTAGAAGTGCCGCTTCCTACCACCTAGGGAGAGAGCCTGTGGGTTACCAGCATGCAGTCAGAAAGAAATTGGTTCAGGAAAAGAATGTTTTATTAAACCATGCATGATGCAGAACTTGGCAGTGTTAGCTACCAAGATATATAACATTGAGACTCTGGCTTCTAAGAAGTAGCTTCCAAGTCTCTGAAGGAGAAAAAGACACATATATGCATAGATGGGCCTAGACTAGAGTTCTGTGGTAGAGCCCATGCCCGGCTTGCACAACGTCCTGGGTTCAACCTCAAGCAATGAAAACAAAACATAAATAAATAAATAAACAAATAAATGAAAGAAAGAAACGTAATAATAAAGAAACAGAAGTGAAGAACACCTGTGGTGGAAACCACCACCGCCACCTCTGGATCTTAGCTTTCAAAGTGTGTCTTTTAAAATAAAAGTAAAAACAAAACACTAAGAAACAGCTGCCTGAAAGGTGTACTTGGGGGAGGATGTCATCTCCACCCCCTCTCTTTCAACATCAAACACACAAACAAAAACAATGCCCTGTCGTTAGACTGCTATCAGCCCTGGTTATCAAGAGGCAGCTGGCCTGAGAGGTTCACACTTGTAGTAGCCTTGGGCGTGGAAGCCCTAAGCCTCCTTCTGGACTCCTATTCTACCACTGCTGTTAGCTTCCTGCAGCCCAGGTCTGCGTCCCATGAGAATGGTGTTTTTTCAATCACTATTTATTGACAGCCCACTGAGTATCAGGCTCTGGGAGGGGGGCGTTTCCATTCTTAAGGCATTCGCCTTTGGTCCACAGCACAAAGCTCACGTGCAATTAATGCCTTCCTGTGATGATTATTGATTAGAAGTCTTGCACTGCACTCCCTTGAGCCAAGTGACCCAGGTGACTGACTGACTTACCGACCTGAGAAGTCAAACTGCGTGAGTTCAAATCCTGGCTCTGTAACTTACTGTTTGATCTTAGACTAGCTGCTCAGCCTCTCTGCACTTCAGACGAGTGGTAATAGCACCCATCTCTTAGGTTTGCTGGGAAGCAATTGCTGTATAGAGATGTCCTGTAAATACCAGCTGATTTTAGACGTCCCACCTTTGGTTACCAGTGTGTTCCTTGCATGGGAGCTTAATGAAACAAGTTTGTCTATTTTGGTCACACACTAGAATATAGAATAGATATTGATCATCTGATTTTTTTTTTGCTCCTCTGTTTTGAGATTTATGTATATTTATTTTACGTGTCGGTATTTTGCCTGCTTGTATGTCTGTATACCGAAATACCTACAGAGGCCAGACGAGGGTGTCAGATCACCTGGAACTGGAGTTACAGATAGTTGTGAGCTGCCATGTGGGTGCTGGGAATTGAACTCAGGCCCTCTGGAAGAACAGTCTTAACCACTGAGACATTTCTCCAGTCCCACACCACTGAATTCTTTAATTCATTCAACCAAACTCTGAGTACCTGCTGTGTGGACCCAATGCTCAGGACCTAATGCTTGGGATTAAAGAAAGAGAAATTATCATGAAGGAAAGACAAATCAGAGAATCTAGTCCTGGGCTGGAGATATGTATGGCTCGGCAGTTAAGAGAGTACGGGTCTTACAGAGGACTGGGTTTCCAGCACCTACATGGTAGCTCAGAATTGCCTCAGACTCTAGCTCCAGGGGGCTCTGATACTCTCTTCTGTCATCAGACATACACGTGGTACTCAGACATACATACAGATACAAATACATAAATTTTCTTCTAACCTTCAAAAAATAAAACAATTCTGCTGGGCACAGTGATACACACCTGTAATCGAAATATTTGGGAGTTAGAGACAGGGATCCAGAGTTTAAGGCTAGAGTTGGCTACAGAGAAAACTAGAGGTAATAAAGACTCTCTCTCTCTCTCTCTCTCTCTCTCTCTCTCTCTCTCTCTCTCTCTCTCTC